GAAGAGGTTATGGAAGAAGGCCATAAGGGTCAGTTTTCTATCCACCCTGGTGCTACTAAGATGTATCAAGACTTGAAGAAGAACTTCTGGTGGCCGGGCATGAAGAAAGATGTTGCTATCTTTGTGTCCAAATGTTTGGTTTGCCAGAAGGTGAAGATTGAGCATCAGAGACCGTCTGGTGAACTTCAACCTCTTGAAGTACCACAGTGGAAGTGGGAAGGTATTTCCATGGACTTCGTGGTGGGATTGCCGAAGACTCAGGCGAGTTGTGACTCTATTTGGGTCATTGTGGACAGACTGACGAAGTCTGCCCATTTTCTTCCAGTGAAGGTGAGCTTCACTACAGAGCAGTTGGCCAAGCTTTATGTCCGCGAGATTGTGAGGCTTCACGGGGTGCCCGAGAGTATCATTAGTGATAGGGACCCGAAGTTCACATCTCGGTTCTGGGAGGCGCTGCAGGAGGCTTTTGGTACACAGTTGAGATTGAGTACCGCCTATTACACTCAGACTGATGGACAGACTGAGAGGACCATCCAGACCTTGGAGGATATGTTGCGAGCTTGCACGTTGGAGCAGGGCTCGGCATGGGATAGGTACATTCCGTTGGTTGTGTTTTCTTACAACAACAGCTTTCATGCTAGCCTGGGCATGGCGCCCTACGAAGCATTGTATGGTAGGGGGTGTCGGACTCCTACTTGTTGGCCTGAGGTTGGGGACAAGGAGCTTTTTAGCTTGGACTTTGTCCAAGATACCACCTTGCAGATCCAGATGATCCGTGAAAAGTTGAAGCCGGCGCACCTGGAGTTCAGTGAGGGTGAGCATGTGTTTGTGAGACTTTCACCTGTCACCGGTGTAGGTCGGGCACTCGGAGTGAGGAAGCTGAGCCCGTGATACATTGGGCCATACCAGATCCTTGGTAGAGTAGGACCTGTTGCCTACCGGCTTGCCTTGCTTCCGAACCTGGCTAACATCCATGACGTGTTTCACGTGTCTCAGCTTCGGAAATATATAGCAGATCCTTCGCACGTGGTGCAACCAGATGATGTGGAGGTTCGGGAGAACCTGAAGACTCCCGTCGGACCACTCAGAATTCTCGATCGTGGCGAGAAACAGCTGAGGAGCAAGATCATTCCTATGGTCAAGGTGCAGTGGACCGGAAGAACTCCTGAGGAGTTTACTTAGGAGCGTGAGGACGAGCTTCTCCGGCAGTACCCCGCGTTTCGACCAGGTATGTTTCTGATTTTGTGGTCAAAATCCTAAAAAGGTGGGGTGAATGTAAGAACCCGCACCGTTAATTAAGGTATTTAATTAATTAATTATGCAAAATTAGGAAATGATTCCATAATTGACCCTAATAATTATTAAGAGGCTTTAATAATTATGGTAAGTGATTAAGAATGCTGAAAGTCATTTTTCGGAAGAAAAGTGCAGATACCGGTTCTGCTAGTCAGTATAAATGCGTACCAAAAAAGTATCTCAGAAAATTAATACAAGTGCATGATAATTACTAGAATAATTTGTAGGACTTGTAAAACGAGTTTCAAGTCCAAATAATGAGAACTGGTGCTAGAAACCGGTACTGGCTATGAAAAGCGCGTACTAGAAAGGTGCTCAGAAAATTATAAGAAAAATATGATAATTCTTAGAAAATTATGTAGTTTCATAATTCAAAGTTTGGGATTAAAATGCTAAGTGTAGCAATTAAAGCTTATACTGCGTGTTTAAGTGTGAGTTGGCTATTTATACACTTACTAAGGGCACATTGCCCTAGATACCAGAATTCCTGCGTGAGAGAGGCTGACCAGCTGCTTGAGCACTGTTCCATTGGTCTCCTTCACCTTCCCTTGAGCCAAGTTGGGACCTTTGGGCATTGATCCTTCTCTTTTCTTCTTGTAAACACTTGAGAGCATCATTGTTGAGTGAAAGGAGAGCCTTTTGGTGAGTGTCTTGCTGCTGTGAAAGGTGTGAGGGAGCTGTGTTTTCTGTTCTTGAGGGGTGTGACCTTTTGTTGGCATTTTGATGCTCCAAGATGCCTTCTTGTTGAGTGAAAGACCTACCTTCTTGTTCATTTTCGTGCATCTTCCTTGAGTCAGACTTGAAGGGCTGTGTTGAGCTCCAAGAGCATCTCCATCCTCTATTTTTGAGCTGTGGTATGATCACCAACCTTTAACTTGAGTTTTAAGGCTTAAAAATGGAAGCTTGATGCATGTTAAGGTTAAAAGATGATAACTTGTTGTTGGGTAAGGCTTAACACACCTATAAATGCATGATTAGGTGTTTAAAATCGGTAAAGAGGGAACCTTTAAGGGATATCTTCACGAAAATGCAGAAACTGCATTCTGTCGTGAAATATCCGGATATCTGCCCGTGGAATATCTGGATATTGGATATCCGAATATGATATCCGGATATGAGGTTTTGGGATATCTGGATATTGGATATCCAGATATGTGAATCTGTATATCCGGATATTGCATATCCGGATATGGACAGTGAGATATCCGGATATTGCATATCCGGATATGGTCCCGAGGAATATCCGGATATTCTGGGATTTCGCAGAACAGTAGCTGTGCTGTGTGTACAGTAAGCTATTGGGGGTTTGTGGACCCTAGATTGATGAAGTTGAACTTCTGTATTTAATGGATTGATCCAGAATCATGTGATTAAGGGCTTATGGCTTTGTTAGAAGCTTTAAGACATTAAAACGTAATGAAAAGGCGTTGTCTTTAATTTGTATGCATGTGGTACATGTTTATTGATTTATATTTGGTCCATATCAGATTATGATCTGCTGTGATTGGACTTTGAGCTTGTGGCATTGGATAGCTAGCTTAGAGGTAAGCTTTCGTGTCCTCGGTTTAGCCATGTTGTGGTTCCACCATGTCCCATGGGGGTATGGTTATATGCATACTGTGTTACATGCTTTTGATATTTTGGAAATGCTGTTGAGCTATTGTATGTTAGTGCCTTGTTGATATGCATGGAGGTGTTCCACCTATACAGTAAGCCTGAGTATGTGGAACATACAAGATGGTGAGGCTGTGGGTGAGGTGCAAGCGGTGTTCCTTGTACTACATGTAGGGAATAGACGTATTCCTACATTTCTCTGGCCAGTAGATAGTGATTACACACATGCCATAGATTTCTGTTGCACTACATAGTTTTGGAACTGATAATGATATAAATGCTTTTTGAACTTATATTGCACATGTAAGTGAGCTTGGGGTGGAAGATCCTTGAGGACCCCTTGTCTTACTGAGATTTCTTGTTTAGAGATCTCACCCCACGTTTGGGGAATGCTTATTTCAGGGTCAGGTAATGATTGGAGTTAGATTGTTGTTATATTATGCTGCTATGATTGGATGCTGGATTTGCATGCTGCTTTTATGCTTATAGCTTCAGTTTATGTTTATGGAGTTTTATGTTGAGACTGGTTGTTTACTATGTTTATTTGGTGAGCATGGGGATTGTCCATGACACATAGTATTGTTATGTCTTGATTATATCTTGAGTCTTTTGGAGTTGTAATAATGTATCAGGATATTGTCCGGATTACGAGATGTAATGCCGTGATTTAGATACACACTTTATTTATATATTGAGGTATTTCAGTAGATGTCTTATTGCAATTTACATACAGGCGTTATTTTATGAAATTGATTAAGTAATCAAGTTGGTAATTGATAATGACATCATAATTGAAAAGAAAAATAATATTCCGCAATTTTTAATTAAGCACCGCTTAATACGATGTAATGTTAATATTCCGAGTATACACGAGGTGTTACAAGTCTCGTATTGGTTAGAAATGAATTAAGTGAAAATAGTCATAAACCTAACACCTTAAAATTTTGGGTTGAAATATGATTACAAATTCACTTATTGTGATGATTGGTAATTTAACTCATTGATAATAATTATTCCTCTCTCATGGGCTCCCCCCGTGTTAGGGAAGCTCTAAATGATGAAATGGATTCCTTTTTTCAAGTAACACTTGATTGTTGATAGATTGTAGATTTATCTACCGGGTCTAGACGTGTTTACAAACTTTTAATACAAGGCTTTTGGCAAAGGGATTCAGGCAAGATGAATGTATAAACTATTTTAATACATATGCTTCAGTATCATAAACCAACATTCACTTTAATTATTTTTGGTAACTAAATTCACTTTAAATTTATTTTGATGGATGGATCGATAGAATAAAATTCGCACATTTATGAATATAAAAATTTGATATACTTTTTATTTGGCAATGAGACATTCTTAAATTATATTGAAAGGCATATATGGTATGTGTTTGATTCAAGATATCATAATTAATATGGGATATGTGTATTAATAGTGACTATGGAGAAGACAGGCATTGGTAATGGTAGATTACTATGCACAAAGAAGAAATTGAGAGCCAATAGAGATGGTATCTGTACACATTAGGGTTTCAAGAGAAATTATGTGTGAAATTCAACCCTTTATTTATAGAGGGATTTATCTTATAATGGATAAAAATCATAATCTCAAAGAGTCTCTAGGATCTGGTATGTAGGTCCAGAATAATATATTATACATTTGGGATTGATATAGAAAGAGTAACTGTGACATGTTTTTTGTGTTACTTATTACGTTAGCATACTGATCAACAAATTTTCACATGCATTTAACACACAGAAAAATTAGGGCGGGGAGTAAAGACAAAACAAATTCTCCTCAAAACGCAACACATTATATTGTGCAAAAATTCTCCCATACCAATAGTACAACTCGTGCCATTCTCAAATAAAAAGTATATATATGGAAGTTATTTGACTGTTCAACGCAGTGAAAAGTAGCCAAGGACTTTCTATCTTTCGTTTCACTTTTTTTTTTTTTTTTTTAAATATAAGGCTTATTTGATTATTTCTCAGATTTTAAAAAGTCTCGTATCTTTCTTTTCATAACACCTACGTTCATATACTAATTAAAATTATAACGTTTTAGATGTGTGCTAACAGAAGTACCTAAGCAGTTGGATAAGAGGGATTTGTAGCAATTCCACATAAACCTTCCTTGGCATGTATATCTCGCTTCATTCTTATGTATCCTTCTTCACCCCATTTCGTGCCCCAGGAATTTTTGACTAGCCAATACTTGGTGCCATCATGAGATTCACCATAACCAACAACTGTAACAACATGATCTACGTCAGTTCGACATTTTCCTGTAAAAACTCCACTTGAATAAAATTGGAAAGCAGATCCTCCAGCAGCAATATAAACTGACACTGGTTGATTTGCCACAGCTTTTAGGAGTGCCTCTTCACTATTAGCTGGAACTGTCTCATACCCTTTAATCCTAACTCCATGATTCGTAGTTTCCTTCTTAACCTTACATGTCCTATCTACTCCTTTGTAGGGATAGTATGCTTCACTTGCTATTCCTCCTTTCTTCACTATAAACTCAAATGCATCTTCCACATAACCACCATTGCATCCGTCACTATTACCTTTAACACAATCTACTAGTTCTTGCTCAGAGAGTGACACTAATTCACCTGTGGTTATTTGGTGTATACCCTCGGTTGAAGCCACAGTTGAAAATGCCCAACAGCTACCTGTTTTTGCAAACAAAAACCATGTTAATTAATATTAGCACAATTTTTAATATAGAATATAATTGAAGTGATGAATATGGAAAGTAGAATCATATAGTAATTGGTTATAATATAAAATCTTTTATTATACCACATGAGCCTTGGTCCTTGATTGGAGTAACAGCACCTCTTTCCCTCCAGTCAACGGTAGTAGGAATGGAAGTCACATTGGCATACTTAAACGATGTCGTTTTTGTTGCTGTCCCAAGAACATGTGCCTTCTTCTGACCATTAAGTGAAGCCTTAAATTCTTCATTGGTTATGTCAGCAAATTGGTTAATGCTAAGGTTGAAAGGTTTGTCCCCAGCAGCATTGAATGACTCAATGAACTCTAAATTGTGTTTGAATATTTGGTAACGTTTTTGCTTCTGAGCAGCATCCTTGTAAGACTTACCATATAGTGACATCCAATTCTCATGTGTCTCGGATGTGTAGGCATCAAGAAGCCTTAGAGACATTACATGGGATGTCCATACAGTGAAAATGAGGAACAGAGCTAAAACATAGTGGTTTTGGTTATAGGAAGCCATTGCATATATGAGCTAATTAATGATTGTTGAGTAGGTTTTTTGAAGTGGGCAATGGCATCTATAAGTTATATATAGTGGTGAGGGGAGCTTCAATTAATAGGAGTTTACATACTTAGTGCTTTAAATAGTAGATACCTCAAATTTAACTTTGGATTTCTACTCAGATTCTCACCAGCACAGCACTAGTCCACGTGCGGCATGTTTTACCTGAGTCAACTTGCTATTGTTATCTATGGAAGATCGGTTTCCAATCAAATTGGTTTATTAATTGATGGCATTGTGGTCACTTCTTGAACCCACTAGAATGTGTTGGTAACTAGTCAAAACTATTTGCTGAATTGCCTTCCAGAAAACTAAAAAAGTGGCTTATGACGTCTATTGTTTATTGGAATGTGAAGTTATATAGTTCATCATAACCGATCAATATAGTCGTCAACAAATGATCGCTTCATATCCACAATAAAAATGGTGTAAGAAATTTTGTGGAAGAGTCATTTTTCAATTACTTACCAGGAAAAAAAATAAAGAATGAATTAAGTATAAACCAAAATGGATAAAAAAAATAGTAAAGTTTGATTAATAAAAACAATAATATTGTTGTTGCGAAAAATTCTTAAGTATTTTGGGAGTAAAAAAAAAAAAAAAAAAAGGTTTTTTTTTTTGCTATATTGAGTGATATAGACTAACAAAATTTTCATCCTAAGATCACTTACGAATTTCCCCTCTCCGTTATCTATTGATGTTACATGCAAATAATTAGAGGCAAATGGCCTCAAAGGGGATAGCATACATTCTGATAAGAAACTCGCTGTACCATTGTGTGGCTATAATGCAATACTGTCACTGATAATGGAATTTTTCAATGAAGAAGTGATTGCCTTTTATGCAAAACTTCATGTTTCAAATAATTCGATACGGACTATAACAAACTGATGATGGACCAGCAAACTATTAGTTAAAGAAGCTTTTTGTGCGAAAGACAACTGTAGCATTTGAGAACGCGTGGTATCTGTGTAATTTTTGACTAATGTGTTTGGCTTTCACAAGAAACAAAAACTAAACAAAGAATAAAAACTATGGACAAACATGGAAAAGCTATTTATGTGTTTTTGTTTCAATTTTGGTAGACCAAGTCTTCCGCGATATCCTAGATTTTGATATAATAACTATAGTTGTGGTGACTTGGCTTTCTTGGACTTCAAGTTCAAAAAATGTTATAAAAGAAAAAAAATAGAGAAAACTACTATGCTTGAAACGTGAAGGTAACAATATCCTTAATAAAATGATTTTTGTCTTCATTATTTGATATAGGATTGATTATGGTAAATCAGCTTTAGGAATAATTATATTTGGAATTACATTTCAGAAGATAAGAATAACAGAAAGACTAAAAATGATAATTGTTTTAGGGGAGGTTATAGTTACTATCTCTTTTTTCTTATTATCTCTTATTATTAAATCTTAACCGCTGATTTTCGTCAATCTAACGGTTATAATTTATTGGATCATATTTATTAATTAATTATTAATTTTTAATAAATTATAACCGTTAAATTAACAGAAATCAACGGTTACGATTTGGTAGTAAGCGGTAGTAAGAAAAAGAGGCAGTAACTATAACATCTTCCATTGTTTTATCCAATTCAACCAAAAGTTATATTAATAGTTTGTATAATTCTCTAATATATTCTCTCACACAAGAGCCCACTAACTAGGCTTGAAGGGTGGACAATACACAAATTTACCTATATGTCCCAACAAACTTCTAATATTTAATTATTTATATATCTGTGACCCTATGAATTAGTGAATATTTTAACTGACTAACATATATGTCTCTGCTTAGTCATCGAACCGTTGCTGTTAAGAGTTGGGATGGGAGAACCTAAGAGCAATTTCTATTGACTCTTACAGAAACAAACCCCTAACATTTTTCAGTTTTTGCTCAAGTGGTGTTTTGACATGATTCTATTTCGCTTTACAAATTACTTTGACAATCCCCACTTAGTTGTTAAAGCTAGACAAACATGTTCACATATTCATTCATATATCCATACAGTATCATCATGCATTAAAAAAAAAAAAATTATATCTCAATTTGATCTCTCCCCATTTGGTATGTCTCGCTTAGTGAATTAGGCATGTCTACAGGGCAGTGAGTACAAGTATAAAGTTGATTGAGAAAGCAGAACATTTTTTGTAAAGGAAAAACACATGTAAGACATCAAGTAATGGCTGAATACATAAGCTTACAACTTTACTAATACACTCAAAAGTGAAAGTAAAGCAAATGTGGAACACAATTTACATAGGAGAGCTTTCCGAGCAGTTGGGTAAGAGGCATCCATTGCAATGACGCATAGGCCTTCATTGGCACCTATGCCTCGCTTCATCCTTATGTATCCTTCTTCACCCCATTCTGTGCCCCATGAATTCTTGACCAGCCAATACTCAGTACCATCATCAGCTATACCATAACCAAAAGCTGTAATACCATGGTCTAGTTGAGTGCCACATTCTCCAGTGAATACCCCACTTGAGTAAAATTGGAAAGCAGACCCTTCAGCATCAATTGAGACTGACACTGGTTGGTTTGCAACTGCTTTCTGTAATGCATCCTCACTATTTGAAGGTACTTTCTCGTATCCCTTAATCTGAGCTGCACCTCAACTGCAGTGTAGGGGTAGTTTGCTTCACTTGTGATTCCACCATTTAGTATAATGAATTCAAAACCATTTTCCATGAGACCTCCCTCACATCCATCATCCACACTATCACAGTCCACTAGCTCTTGTTCTGAGAGGGAGACTAGATTACGTGTAGTTATTTGGTAGATACCTTCTGTTGCAGCAACTACTGTTGAAAATGCCCAGCAGCTACCTGGTTAATTATGGAACCAAAATTTGGTTAATGCAATTGTGGTGTTAACTCATGCAGACACTTAAAAAAAGAAAGCATAATAGCATTGGTTATGGTTTTCTTTGTCTTACCACATTGGCCTTGGTTCTTGATAGGAGTAACAGCTCCTTTCTGCCCCCAATCCACTGCATTAGGAATATCAGTAACGTTTTCATACTTGAATGGTGTTTGTGATGTTATTCTCAGCCCATGTGATTGTGTAAAGAACTTTGGGATACACCACCTCAAAAACTAGCTCAATCAATCAATGTGGGACTGTATATCTCAACACGCGGATGATGCAACAGGCCCAACCTACCTGTGCTAAGAAATTTCACAAGAGAAAGTGGGGGGCGGCGAGGTTTGAACTCGAGACACGAGGCTCTGATATGTAAAGAACCTTGGGATACACCACCCCAAAAGCTAGCTCAAAGGGTGGGAGTGTCCAAGGCTTTATAAAGGCCACATTAGTTGCACATACAACTAATGTGGGACTATATATCTCAACACGCCTCCTCACACAAGAGCCCATTGGGCTTGAAGAGTGGACAATGCAACAGACCCAGCCTACCTGTGCTAAGAAACGCCACAAGAGAAAGTGGGGGGCGGCGAGGTTCTGATACCATGTAAAGAACTTTGGGATACACCACCACAAAAGCTAGCTCAAAGGGTGGGAGTGCCCAAGGCCTTATAAACTCCACATTAGTTGCTCAATCAACCAATGTGAGACTATATATCTTGAGAGACTCTTATACCCATTACGGGAAGTCTTGAATTCCTCATTTGTTTGGTCAGCAAAGTGATTGATGCTAAGCTTGTAAGGTTTGTTACCAGTAGCATTGAAGGATTCAATGAATTCAACATTATCCTTGAATATCAGCAAACGTTTTTCCTTGTCAGCAGCATCCATATACACTTTACCATGTTTTACCATCCACTGCTCATGTCTTTCGGACATGGATGCCTCATGGAGGTTGTGGCACATTACTTGTGAAGTCCAAAATAAGAGAACTAGCAATAGAGGTAAAACACGTAGGTTTTTGCCTATGGAAGCCATGTTTGTCAGCAATGACTAATGATTGTTGTAGAGCAGCTAGCCTAGTTTAGTTGTGTGTTAAAAAATATATAAATTGGTATGTTATGAAGGCCATGTTCGAATGGGATATATAGGAGTATTGTCTCTTAAAGAAGAATTTTTAACCTGAATCAGAATGAAATTGTATGCTGACATATGACCCCTATTATGGTAAATCGTTTCTTTAAGAATTTAGAACTCTTTTCTGTATTACAAAACAAAAGACGAGCTAACCCAATATTCTTTTCATCTACTAATAAGTCTTAATAACAAAAAAGAAATAAACGCTACCCAAAAGAAGAAAAAGAGAAAGATAGGAAACATTATACAATTTGAGAAACAATCATATAAGCCTTAATATCCAATTGGGCTTTAAGCAAAAGAGCATGAAGCCATGAACCTAACAAGCTAGGAGTTGAGGAGAGTACAAAATAATCAAAAGGGAAACAAATTAGTAAAATAAAGAAAAATAAATTATTAAGGTGAAAAAGTGAGACAAAGAAGGAGAAGCGAAATAAAGAAAGAGTTCGAAGGGTTCAGTGAAGAATAAATCAATTTATGATTGAAGAGTCCTAATCCTAAGATATTTCAAATGTCCTTTTATTTAGAGTTTTGTCATTAATAAAAACTATACCGACAAAGTGTTCTCTAAATATATTACAAAAAAAAAGTGTTCTCTAAATTTATTTTTAAAACTAAAAATTACAAATTGTTTTTAAATTTTTTTCACAAAATATTAAGTATCAAACATTTTTTATTTTTAAAAAAAAATTAAAACCTGTTTTGTAAAACTCAAATCAAACATGCCCTAGCCGACTGATGTTGAAAAATCAGCGGATGAGTTGTGGTTAGGGGTGAAATGCCACTCGAACCCGAAGCTAGCTGGTTTTCCCCAAAATACGTTGAGGCGTAGCAAACAAAAAAAAAGGGGTAGCCAATCGCGAGGGAGTTAGTTTCGTATAGTAGAAGATCCAATATTGTGGTCATCCGCTTATAAGTCTTGATGATATGAAAGAAACAAAACGATACCAAAAGAAGAAGAAAATAAATTATATTAAAAAGAATTGAAAAATTTAATGCCAAAAGTTAACTTTAATCAAATAAAGATCATAATACTTGACCTTAACATACTTTTTTCTTGACCTTAACTTTGAATAAAGATCATAATACGGTGGCAATTATCTTTTGCTCGAAGCAAGTGTTAATTTCGGACAAAAACTGAGAACACTTGCAAGTTGCAACACGAAACAGCAATGCAGCATGTGTGCACGAGACGACACGTGCCTTTCTCACGTAAAACCCACATTACCTCGTTTTTACTCATTACTAGATTCATCTTAGGTTCATCCAGATTCTATGGATGTCTTTGGTTGTAACACTGCCATGTCAGCAACACCACTTGACATCTTCTATGCCAAAATTTCTTCCTCCTCAAAAATTTGAAATACACAATTTTCCATTCATAAGAATATCAACATTCCTTTTTCTTATATGTTATTTAATTTCTCTATTCAACACTTCAATTCAACTTCACCACTCCAATTTGAGACAAGTTTCTTTGGTCTTTTGAATGGCTCAGTTACTGTCTCCATTGTACACAGAAGCTCTCAAAATCCACAACCCATCATTGAGTTGTTGTTACACAAGCTCATGGAGGATGCCACCAAAGACTGCAGGCCCTTGCACCTTTGTAACACCCAATGGTAAACGAAGGGGCTGTGGCAGGGTAAGGGTTGCTGCTCAGGACTCAGTTTCTCCGAGTGAGACTGTTGCAGATGACTATTATGCAGTTTTGGGTCTGGTAATGCATCAAAATCTTCTTTTTGTGCCCTTTTTTTTTACTTCCTGTTCAAAATATTCAAACATGGGGAAAGAAATAAATGGAAGTCTCATGAAAGGAATGAAAATATGTGTTTTTATATAACTTTCAAACTTCTTATCATCCATGATTTGATTGATTTTCTATAGGGTAGCATAAATTTTTATGGGGGGGTCTTTCACATTTGAGCAATTTTTAGGGACAATAGGGCAATCCCAGATGATAAATTAGGTGGATTTTTATATATCTAGTGTGTGGTGAGTTATATTACTATTAGTGTGTCTATTGATTGGTTGGTCCCTTTTACCAGCTTCCAGATGCCACACCAGAGCAGATCAAGAAGGCCTATTACAATTGCATGAAAGCTTGCCACCCGGATTTGAGTGGCAATGATCCTGAAAACACAAATTTCTGCATGTTCATCAATGAAGTCTATGCGGTGGGTTCCATTTTTGATACCTTAAATTTTAACTTTGAGAAAAATGTGATTCAAGTTTTATCCTTTCTTTTTTTTTGGGTGTAAATTGACTATTGCAGTGCAGGTGCTCAGTGATCCTATTCAGCGCATGGTTTATGATGAAATTCATGGGTATTCTTTGACTTCAATCAATCCTTTCCTGGATGATTCTAGCCCAAAGGATCATACTTTTGTTGATGAATTCAGCTGCATAGGTACTTTCATTCACTCTTACAATGTTACCTTATGTGTTCTTGTTAAGCACTCTTGATATTGCCATCTTTCACCTCTTTTGAAAAAAAAAAATTATGGTTGGTTCTATCTAATAACACTTCCTTTATAGAAAAACAGTTTGGAATCTGCCAGGAATCAGTCAAATTAATGAAAAAGGGAAAAATACTGACATCTAAGATCTTTTACCCTAAGGGTGTGTTTGGTACAGGAGAAATTTTTTGGTGACCGGGAATCATGATTAATGGGAATTCAGTAGAAATTGAGTTTACTTGGAATCTTACGAAAGATGTGTTTGGTTCGCCAAAATATTACCGGGAATATTGGGTAAAAATTATTGATTCCATATTTGGTTTAGAACGAAATATGACTTGGAATATGAGGTTATTTTACAAAAATAACCCCAAACTATTTTTACTTTTGTAATTGATAGATTGGGTCTAGATTTTTATGTGTATTGGGGTATTTTTGTCTCAAAATTTATTGTTGTGCTTTCCCTTTACTTGGTATTCTGATTGGTATTCCGAATTACCATATTATTTTTGGTAATCTGAATAATGACTTTTCTTTATAAATCAAATTACCGGTAATCCTTGGATATCCGGGAATCGTAATTTATTCCTTCTACCAAACGTGGTAATTACATTTACCAAAGAAGGATTACCGGTAATCCTCTCCAAAAACTTGAACCAAACACCCCCTAAGTACTTAAGTGATACGCTTCATTGTCTTTGTTAGATGCCAGTTGTATATCTTGAAAGCTCTACAATTTCAGTTAGAACAATTACAAGGCATATTATGTAATTAATCATACTTCAAATCCTTGAACAGGCTGCAAAAATTGTGCCAATGTAGCTTGTGATGTTTTTGCAATAGAAGAAGACTTTGGAAGAGCCAGGGTATACAACCAATGCGGGAACCCTGAATTAATTCAACAGGCGATTGATAGTTGGTATTTCTATGAGCATCACTCTAATCACCCATTGTTTGTCCCTAAGTTTCCATTATTATAACTAATTTTAAGTATATTAGAAGTGTAATTAAACTCATTTCTATTCATCGTTGTTGTCTGACTATCACCATGTTTTGCTTCTAAGAATAGGTTTAAATTTTACTTTGACCGCCATTCTGTATTCCTGATGTATTTTCTGTAAGATGATATTGCCTTACATGCCATTTTGTTTTACAAAATCCCTTATTACTTTTTTCCCATTTTGTTATTTATGACTAAGATTAAAATGCCCTTAGTTTGGTCTTTGGCCCCACATTTTGCAAAAAAGAAAAGTGTTGTTAGTTATGGAATGCATAACAAATATATATGTAGGTATATTTGGTTAATTGATTATGTGTTATGGACAAATATAGTCAATTGAACTTTCATGAAATCAAGCTAGCTCCTTTCTGTGTTATTCATTCACCCTTTGCCAATTGCATACAAATGTCTCAAATAAGCCAAGGGTTTTCTTATTTGATCTTAATTCCAAATTCAGAACCGTCCTGAATTAGCACATGCTTCTGCAGCTATTATGGTTATCCTTTACTTCTTTTCTGTGTGCTAGTCTTGATAAAAGAAGGCGAGCCTATAGCAGTAGTAAAGTTGTTCCTTTGTGACTAAAAATTCATGGGTTCGAATCCAAAAAATAGTCTTTTTACAATTATGCAAGAGTAAAACTGTGTACAATAATTGTCCTCACCACACCCTCGTTAGTCGGAGTTTAATGGGGAGTGGTTTTCTGTGCTAGTCTTGATGGTATGATCTACAATTTGTGAAGCCTTTTGATTCCCAGCATGCTAAGACTTATATTGAAATGGGACCAAAGGTAAACAGGTAAAAAATATCTAGAAACCAAAAAAATACTTAAAAACTGTTATGCTAAATAAACATGGCAAGGGACCATTATACTTGCCCTGGGCATGTTGGTTTATCATATATTAATATAGGAATAAACCTTCATTCTTAACTTCAATACAGTATATGTTTTTGAAATTCCATTGATGGTGTTAGACACTTTAGTTTTAGAACATTTGGTATGACGATGGCATTCTTTGTGAAACAACTCTGCTAATGGAGATTTCTGATATTAATTTGACAATAATTTCTGTATTTAAGCCCTGTGGACTGCATTCATTGGACATCAGCTGCACAGCTATCATTACTTGAAGACGAAATGCGCCGCCTAGAAAGAGTCAATGTAAGGCTATAGTCATAAATCTATTTCTTCCCCTTTTTTTCTTATGATGTCTATTCCTAAGATAATGTCATCATTTCTTATTTGTTCCCTCTCTGTTAGATGGTTACTAATATATTAGAAATAATTTTGATTATGTAGCATATGCATTTTAAGTTTTCAAACTGGAATATTTCTTGATAGGTTTCTGATCATGTTAGTATAGCCCCAATTTTTCTCCATATGAATTTGAAGTCCTTATGACTTCTACCTTTTCTTATTTTACTATTATTAACTTTGTTTCCCATAGTTGTAATCTTTTTTTTTTAAATTAAATTTTAGATAACCAATTGGTAAAGTAAAGTGACTTTTTTTCTCCAAATGATATAAATGATAATCCTTTTACCAAATGGATTCTGCACATTTAAATGCATATTACCTAGTTAAGCTTATTGTATACTATACCATTTATATATCAACTGAGCATCTTAAATGCAGGTTGCCTTTATGCTTTCAGGAATGGGTTCAGGATCAAGTGATGTTTTCCGAATGGTAAGAGTAACTCATAGACTACTGGGCTATTTATATGTTCAAAGGTTTTCTTCTAATTTCTTATCTGCATTTTGTGGATATTTTGGTACTGATGAACCTTTCTAGTTTGAAATATGGTTGAAATCATCATATTCTGCATGCCCTACAACATGACTGAAAGACCTTGAATTTGGAAATTTCTTCATTCAGACTCTTGAAAAATGGTTAAAAAGTCATGATAACATGGATTAAGAAAGCAGTTTTTCAGAATATTTCATAGTAGCACTTTCATTGTTCCATCCTATAGATTTCATGCCTCTTAAGTTTCAATCCTATTTCAGAGAGAATATTTTAATAAGTATGTTGATTGTTGAAGATTTTAGTGTTTTAGCATATATGTACTATTTATGTGTTGTCCCCTCTAACATGATCTGACCATACTAATGACAGGCAAGTTCTCGATGGGAAAAGAGGCAGGCAAAAGTCTTGGTAAGAACTCTTGTATTCTCATTCACCTTTTTTTTTTTTTGCTTAATAGTTGAATAATCACCTATTTACATGCAGTTAATCTTATGGGAATTATCATGGTTTGTACTGCTAATCTCTGGAAAAGATATAGGTTCTTAAGGAATTTAAAATTGTAGCAAGATACCATTTTGTTCCTAAAATATTGACTTGACATCAATTTGGTACTTGAAAAACTGGTGGCATCAATTTTTACACGGACCATATTGATGTCAACCCAATTGTTCAAGGAACAAAATGATAGTGTACTCTTAAAATTACAAGGGCGAGCCTTGGAGCAGCGATAATCTAAAATAATTAAGATTTTTCACTGGTCCTTGATTTTGATGGACATGATTCAGTTTCCTACAAGTCTTTGTAAGTAGTTAGATGTCAGAAAGTGATTATCTGAAAAGATTTTTGTTATATTTGATAAAATGTAGAATAATCTAGAGATTCCAATCCATTCTTGTCCACAAGTAACAGAATTTTTATGTCTAGAATGCTTATTCCTTTTAGAAAAATGGGAGACTCTACAGTTTGAGATAATGCAATATTTGCTGAATAGTACATAACTCTTGTTGAAAATTCTTAGTTATTAGGTTTGGATCAAGCTTCTTAAACACAGACAAAGCAACTCCCGAATTCCACATTAATGAGGGATGCCTTAAAGCTAAAACTAATGTGAATCTTTGCGCCACAGAAATTTCACACTAGCTTCAGTGTCTCTTTCTTGGGAAGAAAATTGTGCTTGTTCATTAGTTTCACAGTATGAAACATGTTATGCATGTGATTAAACATTGACGAGTGTCCTGCAGGAACAAGCAAAATTCAGAATGATGAAGCAGAAAGGCTCTGATAAAACAGATTCATACTGGGACAATGTCTGGGGCAAAACAAGAGAATACCAAAGTTCAGGTATGGGTTGTGAAAATACAAAAAGATTGTGCAATTTTAATTATTTATTGGAAAGTATAATATTATTCTGCTAAGATCTTTCTTTTTCATTTGTATGGTTTCATAACTTTATTTTTGCAATTCTTGTTATAGAGCTATTTCAATCCAAAAGCTTATGTAGTTTGGTGAAGGCCACATTAATGATTTTATATTATATTTTTCTAACATGCTCCCTCATACAAGAATTCATTGGACTTAAAGAGTAGATAATACAAAAGCCCTATCTATCTGTATTAAGAAACCTCATACTATTAAATTATTTATTAATAAAATAGGTGCGGTAAAGATTAAATTCGTAACCATTTGGCCACAGAGGCTCTAATTCCATATAAAAAAATCATTTCAATCCAAAATCTTAAGCTATTTGGTGTAGACTACATTATACTTCTATAACATTTATTCCTGACGATTTCAATTTGTAATATCTAACCTCTAAGTAGCTATTAACAAATTTTGACTCCATATTGTAAAGATCCTTCAGTAGGCCTGATTATTTGGTGGTGGCAATTACTATTCGTGAAGATTATACTGTTTGTGCCACTTATATTCTTTCAAATGATAATCATTTTGCAGAGGAGGAAGTCAAAGAAAGAGCAAAAAGAGCTGCTGCTGCTGCTCGAAGATGGAGGGAATACTCAAGGAGGGGTGTTGATAAGCCTCCCACATTTAAACTACCAGAGGCAGCCTCTAGCAAGGACAAGTGACCAGTATTTTCCCTATAACTTCTATAACTATAACATAAGGTCCCATGTAATTAGTTCATCCATAGCCTGTTATTCAATCTCATAAACCTACTTGTTTTTAATAATCCATAATTGTATATGCAGCAACTCTAATTAAAGTAAATGTAACACAGAAGATTTATAGTAAATACAAGCATAAATAAAAGAAAGCTAGTTACAATGCTTCACTCCGGGGGTTTATTACTTTTCTTATTTTATATAAGCCTACAAAGTCAAAACAGTATGGAGTTTCTATGTTACAGCTGTTTCAATTTGAATTGCTAAGTTCAGCATAACAAATTTAAACAAGCCGTGCAGTGTGAGTTGTTGTTTCACCATTTATGCAAGCTGAAGCTGTTGTACAAAACTAACCTGCAATATCCAACATAGTTAATGTAGGCAGAAATTTTTCCTTATGACCAATGTTCCATGTATCAAAGTTCTTAGGTGCACCAAATGGAACATGGGTTGTGTAAAATGGTGTAAAACAGTAAGAAGTACATTATATATTTAAATATTGTTTATTTATTTGAAGCCATACAGTAACGTGAAATAGAGAATTTTTCTGCCAAGATAATTCAATGAATTGACCAGCAGAGCTCACTGATTATCTCTATTTCTATCTAAGCTTTAAAAGGATAAGGATGGTTTCTAAGTAATCAAAGTATCTTCCATTTTAAATAATCTTGCAGAAGAGTATCTTGAATGATGGTACTAGAATATTCTATGACAAGCGTCATAGCATACGCATTATCTTTATTTAAATAATTGCAAGTGGGTTTTAATACTCTATAAATTCATTAATATCATCCAAGCTTCCAATAAACAAGTAGGAGTGCAAGTTATACCAGCAACAGAACAAAAATCAAGTTAGAACGTGACAATCTTTTTATTGCACGTGACTCAATCCTTGTATAAGATAACTCTCTGTCCAAATTTGAAAATATAAGGAAGAATCACTTCAATTTATTAATTAACAATGATCCTTTACGGTATTAGGACTAGACTATTAAAAAAAAAAAAAATCCCCATTTAATCCGACTAACGAGTGTGGGATGGAAAAAATATTTATACAGAGTTTTACCTTTGCATAATTGCAAAAAGACAATTTTCTGAATTTGAATTCATGACTTTTTAGTCATGAAAAAATAGTTTTATCACTGCTATGATTTGCCTTTTTTCTAGACTATTAGCAGACACAAATTAAAACTATCGGACCCTTGTGAGGCCCCAGTATTCTAGCAATAGACAAGAGAATACAATTAGCTACCAAACAATGACGTTCATGGTAGATTTTTTGTGTGTGGAGCTTCTACCAGATACATTGTTTGCTGAATAATCTAAAACCAATTTGGCTAGTTGTCGAATGTCAAGTTCTATTAGAAAGCACTATGAAGTTAATATGGACATTGCAGGTCGTCATGAGATAGAGTCTTTGGTCAAAGATTCATACATATATCGCGTACATCGTATCCAAAAATTGAAATTCACTTAAAATTAACATGATAGTTCACTTTTAAGTTCTTCCATTGACTCGGTAATATACCGAAACTAAAATTTAAAAATTGAGAAATGTCGAAAGCAATTCTTTGGTTACTTTAAATGTTGCTACAAGAGCTTTGACTTCAAAACTAGAGTTTGATTTTAACTGGTTGCCCTACAGACATATCATCTTAAATATTACTTTTAGTCTTATTAAAGCTCATAGCATGCCCTAGTCTTTAATGATGGAACATTCTTTTAACCAAAAAAAGACTGTATTTCTTTAACAAAATACCAAAAAAGTAAAAAACATTTTGATCTAAAAATGTAAAGTTTTTAGTATTGCCTCGTACCATATGAGTGGATGGAAAGTGGAGATATCAACTTTTATTTATTTATTAATTCATTTATTGAGAAGGTTATATTTACAAATTTTTTGTTTACAAATTCTTACAAACTACACTAAATATGACCAATCATACTTCAATCAAGAGTGTATGACCGGTCACACTTTGTGTAATTTGTAAACAAATTTGTAAACGAATCATTCCCCTTACTTATTTTGCAATCTTTGATATAAGGTGCGATTCACATTGGACTTAACTTTTGCTAATACAACATGATGGTAATAGAGACAGCCTCACTAGAGTGAAAATAATTATTAGTGGGTCAGCTTCTTTCTCATCTTTGTGTCTCTTTCACTTGAGCCGTACCATTCTTGTTATTCACTAAACATTATTTTAAGTAATTTGGTTGGTATAACACCGTGCCAACTACGTCAATAACAGTCTAATGTTCAACCTAATGTATTGTATTACTCAATTATTGAGAACAGAGAAGACAAAATCAGGAAAAGAATGCAAAAGCAGTTTCTTGAAGCAATTGGAATAAATTAATCAAGATTCTTCATAGAAAGAAACAAACTATCCTATAAAGATGGCTAAAATCAACCAATACCAGAAGCTCCAGAAAACACCCCCAAGTTTACATTTAGCAGGGAGAATGACAAAACTGCACCAGAAAAGAGATAGAGAGAAAAAAAAATACTCTATTAACAAGCGTAGGATGAGGACAATCTTGATACACAGTCTTTCCCTCGTATACTTGTAAAAAGACTGCTTCCTGAATTCCAACATGTATCTTTCAATCACAAAGAACATAACACTGCTTGAGGTTCGCCCTTTATTGGAAAAAGAGATATAGAGAAAAAGAACTAAAAAAATAAAAATAATATTGGATACAAGTAAAACTGGGAAAATATGTACATTTATTAATATAGCTACAATCTAATATAATATCTACAATTACTGATTTGCTGAAGACATGAAACAAGTTCGCACTTAGAACATTCACCAAAAAGACAAGACATTTTTGCTCATTGTTATCTTACGATGGATGCAACTGTGTGGGCCCAGAACCTAAGATTGTGTTTCATGTCAATCTCATCACCCCTAGCTGGAATCCTCCAATTCAGTAATGGATTTCTTATCTCACTTTGGTCTAAAACATCCCAAGCCTCAGATAAATAAGGCTTATTTGAAATCACAGTTTCATCAATCTTCCGTTGTTCCTCTTCATCACCCTTCACTTCACCTTCTATTCCCAGCCTCTGCAACCCAGGTATCAAAGAAACCAATCTTGAATCCTTGTCTTCCTCAGAAAACACAAAACCCAAATCCATAAACCCTTTAAGCTCCTTAAACTCAAGCTCTGTTAAGCTTCTGCTGGTGTTGCCTTTCCTGAGTCTTCTTCTTCTTCTTCTTCCATGTCTATAGCTTTCTTTGTTCTTAATGTTTTCACTATTTCCCACTGAGAATTCTCTGACTTCCCTCTCAGAAGGGATTGTCCTAAGCTTTGGTGAGCTGAGGACAGAATCTGGTGATGGAGAATCACAGAAAACACATGCTGTGGAACCCAAGTTTTGGTCACTATAGGACCTTACTTCAAGGTTTGGAAGTACTAGTTTCTTTGTGTCTAGTGGAAGCACTTCTTCAATCTTGGTCTGAGAGATTGTATCCAATGTTGTTGGATGATGAAACTTTGAAGGGGTTTTGTTGGTGAGAATTGTAGTCTCAAACCAGAAAGAATCTAGCAATTCCAGAACATGTTCTGCATCCATTATTACTGTGTTACAAATGAATGGCTTGGATTGAAATTTGGATCCTACAAAGATATGAGAAGATTGGAGAGAGGGTAAGTAGCTTGAAGATAAGAAGATAAAGTGGCTATGTATGTATTTAATATTTATATGGAGTGTGGCATTACTTAATTGCCACTGGTTTTATAGGCTTTTTTTGTTTTATTCCCATTTTATTCGAATATGCACTTTGGGAAATTTCAGGAAACGTTCTCTTTTAGTGTCGGGTTTTATGAAAATGACCAAATTAATATCAGAATGTGTGAGTGTCTAATTAACTGTACGTTGAATGATTTTTTGTCTTTCATTATTATGGCGAATATGATAAAATAGGAAATTTTAACATTAAAGTTTGTGATAAATTGATCCCAAGTTCAAATTCCATTGTCTCTGTTTTTTTATAAAAATAAAAAGTAAGTTAAAATTACAACACGATAACCCATAAAAAAATGAGAATGTGCATTGTTCACGGTAAAAGGAATATTTCATATTTTTATATATTATTTTTCTTTTAATACGTCTTCTCACAAAGATGATGTTTGAGAAACTATTAATAATTAATATAATAGATAATTAATGATATGCAAAATAAGATTTTTTTTTTTTTGATTTATCATGAAAATGAGCTTTCTTTTTTAAAATTATTTATTTATATTTACTCTTGGTATGTACTAAACAAATATTTAAATAAATTTAAACAAATATTTACTCTTTATATTTAAATATATTTTTTATTTTTAATATATAGTATGTATTAAACCAATTTTAATTGCAAACCTTTTAATTTTTATATTGAATAGTGTTTTCAAACAGGTGCTGAGTCAAACAAGCCAAAGATTAAACTCATAATAATATAAAGACGTACTGTAACTAGTGTAATGTGAGCTCTAATCTCATTAACTAAATTTTACATTTTTCTAGTAAAAATCATTTTCAAACTCCGTAAATTACACCAAACATGCTACCTAACAACTATAATTAAGCAAAACAAGTATCTATGAAATTCTTTTATCTCGGATTGAATCGTACCAAACTTAAATCTCTCTTGGAATATATTAAGTACATATAGTATTAATGCAAATTCAGTAGTAGATTCTCATTATTTAATAAAAGTTAAAAAAATGTGCTGGTGTCTTGCTGGTGTCTATATATAAACAAATACTTAAAATACTTATTTAATATTTTTGGTATGGACTAAACAAATACTTAAAATAAATTTAACGTTTTTTATTTTTAATATTTTTTGTTTATTTACGGTATTCTTTAAAAAAATACTAAATCAATTTTAATATACAAAATACACCCATTATATATTTTTTACGTATTATTGATGTGAATGAAAATATAAGATTTCATATTATTTTATCAAGATTAAGCTTGGAAATTTTCTTTGGGGATTATAAAATGAATCCTTATCATAAAGATAAAATAAAAAATTCAAATTGATGCGAAAAAAACAGTAAAAAAATTAAAATAGGTTAAGAATATTATCTTTCAAATGGGAATTTTCTTTAATGTGTGTCTCTTACCTTCTGTAAATGCAGATATTGAGTTCCACTTCTCCGTAATTTCCACGATGAAAAAAAAGTCTATTGTTGTAATCACGGCAAGTATATCAGCCGTACAAGTAGTAAAGAAGTGAGCAGAGTTATCGTTCCCAATAGAACTAGAGATATCAATCACTATTCTCACTATTCCCTTTAATTTAAACGTATTAAGATGGATTTGAGAAAGTAATATAAAAACTGATACAAGATCAATTTAGAAATAACAAAAGAAATTAAATGTTGAATAATAATTAATTGTGAATAAAACTCAGGTAATTCAAATCGATTTTGAAAATCAATGCTAAAAACTACAGTCACAGTTTATTTCACCTCAGATTATCTTTAAATGAATTAATTTAATTCATTAATATCTTATTTCAATTGATTCAAACAATTCATGATCTAACATTCAATTGGTTAAATCCTAATTTCTTAATTCTTTAACCTTTTAACCAAATTAGAATCCTAATATCTTAGAGACCTTCTCAAATTAAGCTTTAAGCACGATGAATTGTGAAGTTCAAAATTCTTATAAGCCTATGTCTAAATCATGCAAGAATTGATGCTTTATCCATGTCAAGACTAAGATCCCAATATGTCTATTATGAACTCTAACTCTCTTTAATCCTATGAGTGATCAAGTCATACAAGAACATTAACATAAAATTGAGATAAACACAAACAATTAGAAAGAATTTATTAATAAACAAATTAACCCAAAATAAGGATTCATGTCGGTTTCGTATCCCTAACTACAAAAAGAACTTAGTCAGACATAGTTGTTGTAACACCCCGTTCTAGAACCGGTTTGTTAACATCGCATTATGATATTAAGCGCAGTTACAATCACATGGGTTCAATTAAAATCCGGTTAAATTTTTCATTTTAAAACATGCCGAATTTATAATGCCCAATTGCGTGATCATAACCATATTACTTTGCGGAATCAGATAAACCAAGCTTAACATCATGTTCTTATTCCATTTTTAAACCATTAATTTACTTCTTATTTATTTCCCAACTTCTACTATATTGTAGATTTCTTCGTTAGCTACGCGTGGTTTCAAACCGCTCCTCATTTGGAGCTCTGTAGATCAAGTTATGACAATTTTACTAACTCAGGTGTATGCTGAAAAACTACGCGGGTAGGGCGCTTAAGCTCGCTCCAGGGCGCTTAAGCGCCCACAGACAGAGGGAATTTACATTTTTTAGCCACCAAGGGCGCTTAAGCTCGCTCCAGGGCGCTTAAGCGCGCTACCTGGGCGCTTAAGCCCCCATTTTGGGCGCTAAAGCCCCATGCGGCAGAAAGCTTTTGGTCTTCACAGGTGCATCAGGGCGCTTAAGCCCCCTCATGGGCGCTTAAGCCCCCTGAGCAGGCTTAAGCCTCCATTTGCAGGCTTAAGCCCCCTCTTCTGGGCAATTTCTTATACTCATATTTTTCATGCATCTTTCTTGGGGAATCAATCCTACACATTTTACAACCTATTTAACAAGCTTGTGATATCCCTATATCATTGCTCAACTCTCATCCTCTCATCATTGATTTAACGGAAATTGGGCAGCATAATCTTTGTTTTCTCAACGTTTCCCAACTTAGCACAAGGTACCTAATTGACTTTCCAGCTCAACATATCCAATACATAAAAATACATTCATGCATTTAACTTACAGTAAGCATCATACACCAATATCTTCATTACTTACAATATTACATCATGTCTTAATTACAAATCTCATATACATGCCAAAGGACTTAGCTACAAAATGAACATGATCAAAGCAAGTAACCATGTATCAGATACCCATTACTACTACAATGATCATGCACTAAGTCCTCCAAAATACATCATGTGGCATCAAGATATACATATAGCAATGCTAAATGGCATGCAACTCAACATGTCCAGCTATCAGGTACAGTCTACTCACGCTTCTTGCCTCGATCAACCTCACCTCTATCAGTACCTGAAATGATGCCCCACAACACGGGGTGAGATATACGAATATATCACAGTAAACCAGAGGTCCTTGGAGATCACTCCACCCTAAGGTTCACTTTGATGTACACATAATCATAATAGCTTAACACATTCTTATCCACAAGCATCACATGGACTTCCAAGAGAGATCCACTATGGGCTGTTTCTCTTAGGCTCTTACCACATGGAGATCCACATAGGGCTGTTTCCAAGGGAAGTCCTTTCCTCAATCTATTCCAAGAGAGATCCTCAAAGGGCTGTTTCTCTTAGGCTCTTACCACATGGAGATCCACCTAGGGCTGTTTCCAAGGGAAGTTCTTTCCTCAATCTAGGAACCTCCAAGAGGGATCCACATAGGGCTGTTCCTCTTAGGCTCTAACCACATGGAGATCCACATAGGGCTGTTTCCAAGGGAAGTCCTTTCCTCAATCTAGGAACCTCCAAGAGGGATCCACATAGGGCTGTTCCTCTTAGGCTCTAACCACATGGAGATCCACATAGGGCTGTTTCCAAGGGAAGTCCTTTCCTCAATCTAGGAACCTCCAAGAGGGATCCACATAGGGCTGTTCCTCTTAGGCTCTAACCACATGGAGATCCACATAGGGCTGTTTCCAAGGGAAGTTCCTACCAATCATCCTCATCATAATACTATCACTCATAACCTCAATCACAATCCTCAACCATTACCTCATTCATTATTGCTACTTCTATAATCATTCCTCAATTACTCTTAAACAATCAAACATCAACCAATAATCATCAATCAATCATAACATGTATCAATGCATGAATCAATGCATGAGCATACAATCACTATCATAATTACATATCACATCTCATAAACCATTTCTCCTCAACGGAGTATGGTGGAACACTCAATGGGATCAACCACAAGGTCCAAAGGTTTACCTTGCTCTTGAGCTTTCCTCAATTGCACACAACCCCAAGGGTTGGTCACTCCACTTGGTCCTCTTGCTCCTATCAACACAAGGAATACAATCAAACAATGCTAACAATGCAAGGAAATCCATAGTTCCAAGCCTAGATTTCTCCAAACATCAAAGCATACTAAAATAACACTATAAACTCATTTCTACCGATTAAATGTCATTCCTAGCATTTTTCACAACATACTCTAAGCCTCATTCTTCCTTGAACATAGCCAATCTACTCAACATTTCATAAAAACCCTAAAACACTATTCATTAACCCTAAACTCATGCAAATCTCCAAGAATCATGTGAAAGAGAGTGGAAACTTACCACCAATGATCACACAATAGAGGAATGAGTGTTCCTCAAGCTTCCATGGAGGTAGAAACTCTCAAACACCTCAATTTCTCCAATGGGCCGAATTTTTGGAGGAGGATATCTCACAACACAACACTCCCCACTAAGAACCAAGCTAGGATTAGTGATGAGGGGAAGATTTGGAGTAGTTTAGGCTTTTGAATCACCCAAAATGGTGAAGAACTCAAGGTTCTAGGGTTCTCTCTCTCTCTCCCTCTTCTTCTTCT